AGCGTCCCGCCCTATCAACACAACGGAGCGTCCCGCCCTGTTAACAGAAACGAGAGCCCCGCCTACCATACTGTAAAATAACTAGGGATGCACCGATCCGCCTTTTTTTTTACTTCCGATCCGATCCCGATACCTAGATCTGACTATCAACCGATACCGATCTAGTTCCGATATCATGATCATCATTGATTTTATATGAGGCTGTAATAATCTCCTCTCAAGTACAATTTGTACACATTTATGCATGCATGTCCAAAAAGGCAACTTGAGGTAAGTTTTATTAATGTTGGATAAGTTTTAAAGTTAGAATTAAATTCTGCTAACACAAAACATGTTTCTTTTTATTCCTAGCTTTAAAGTGGATATTCAAGTGATTAATTTAAGTGATTGTTTAAAGTTGTTTTATATTTTATAAGGGGCAGATATAAGAATTTTTTCTTCTTCCTGCACTCTTTTCATTCAATGTTTTCTTTTTGATGATTTTTACTTACATTTTGTTTCATTTAAATGAATGAATAAATGAATTAAATTAAATGTTAAATGGCTTCAAACATCTGCTAAGTTCATGACATAAACCAACAGACATGTTCCTGTTTCTAGTATTTTACATCACTTTATAATGTAGCTGTTTATGTTTTTAATATATATAATTTTCACATCATATGTTTTTTATGATAGTCTACTGTTGTACTGATAAATATCTCCTGGAGGGTAAACTATATCTTGACTGCAAGTATCAAACTGTGAAATCCTTTGTTTTCTACAACTGATAGTGGTCGGTCATTAATGATGAAGTTTATCAACTTCTCTGTAAACATTAGAGCTCCGTGGTTTCAGCTACGTCTTCTTCTTGTTCAGTCCGAAGCAGGCAGTCTGATTTAGGTCAGCTGCGCTCAGTCTGTCCCTCCTCAGAGACGAGCAGACTGAGCGGGGCAGATTGGACATGGCTGGCCGGGGTCGAGTCGCCTCTTTCGGTTGACCAAAGAGCAGCGCCCCGCTGAAGCCCCGGAGCTCGAATGTCCATCGTAAAACTAACTTTACCGTGGTTTAATGTGGCGCTGTGGCTCTGCAGACAGTGCACGTTGCTGTCTTGTTTTGTGGTGTTCAGTGTAAAATACTTCCACACAGTGACATGTTTAGATGAAAAGTTTGTTAGCTGTTAGCCACAGTGCTGCTAACTCAGTCCTCACGTTGTAGCTGCTGCAAACTATGGACTGGATTTCTTGAATGTGAGGCGAGTCTTATTACTCTGGGCTCATGAGACACGCCGCCGTTCAGGAAATCCATCCCATAGTTTGAAGCCAACTTGCATCATGGATCGGAAATATCGGCAGGTGGATCGGAAAAATTCGATACATAAACCAGTCAGAAAGATGAGGAACTCGTGAAAAATGTATGAATATATACAGCATATGTCATACTACACTGGTATCTGAGGCCGATACCGAATCGGCCCCATCCCTAAAAATAACTGACTATAAAACCGTTTTCTGTCAACTCCAATGTGTTCAAAGCAGAAAAGAAGAACAATTCAAAACAAAAGTAAAGTTCTAATTGTTAGGGAACTAAATGTTTCCAATTAAATTTCTAAAACTACACAGAAGGGAAACATGTACAGTGCACGATCTTAGATGTATTGTGAGCAAAGAGGAATAAACACAGGATGTGGTGCAGGAAAACAAAGTTGAACAAGTTTCACCACAGGTGTAACTCTGCCCATGAGGACTCAGCCAGCAGGTAGGATAACTTACCTTACCCAGGATTTTACGACCATTCATGGCTGCAATAGTGGCAGTGGCATGTCTGTGGTCATAAAATTCCACAAAGCAGTACGGATCATGACCTGCTGTCTGCAGATGAGAAAAAGACAGATGTGGTGGCTTTAGCTGTACCATGATTAAACTAGAACACCCAGAGGACAAAGCATTGTTTTCTTAAACTACAGAAAAAGCAGAACTCACATCTACGATCATTTTACAGCTTTTACATGGTCCAATCTGGCTAAACAGCTCCAAGATGAGGGCCTCCGTCACGTCTCGGGATAGATTCCCCACATACCTGAACACAAGGAAAATATACCGTTAGCTGGAGGAGAAGCTCGTAATTTGATTTTATGCTTGTCGGGTTTAACACAAAAATTAGAATGATAATAAAATATGGCAATGAGTTTTTGACTTATAATCTGAATGAAAAAGAAGTCACAATGCCTGAGAATAAACAACAAAGATGCCTTTGACAAGTTCCTGTTTTTAGTATCTTACACCGTTTCATAATGTAGCATGTTTTTATTTTGTTTTTTGTCACTTCTTTTCTATACTTTTCATTTTATATGATTTCATATGAATGTTAATTGTTGTGTACCTGATTTATCCAACAATTGTCAGTCAGTTATGTTGGTGCTAAGATGGTCTTGTGTTGTGTGTTTCCTTGACTGATGAAGTCTTCTGGATGGAAGGTGAAACGTTTCAGCAAAAAAAGAAACTGTCCAGATGACCTGACTGAAAATTGTTGGGATTGTATACCTGGATTATTGAGCATGGACTTTGCTGGTTTTGAACCAGTTTAACATGACTGTCGACGAGGGAGAGGGCCGGCACCAGAGGAGGGGGTGTGCCAAAGACACCATCTGGAAATACAGGGGATGGATGAGTTGGGGCTGACCAAAACCCAGCAGTGGAGCCCTCAGTGGTGTACCACCACCTCCACACCAACCGCAGGTCAGTTTCAGCCTCTACTAATATTTCTCTCCCAGCTAAATCAGACCGCCCCACGACATCGATTTATCAGAGAATGTACACAAATGCTGGACAGTCTGTGTGTTCTCTTAATGCTGTCACACTGTTGTCAGCATATCAAGCAGAGATCCTGGAGGAGATGGGCCGCCAGCTGGACTCGGGGTCACCCAACCCCGCACTGTGTAATGAAATTTGTGTTGTTAACGATCTAATCCTATGCTCATCCAGAGGAGCTATCCAGGGAAGAGGTCACATCATGGGACTTGCTGTCGCATGAGAAAGAGCCCTGTGGATGAACCTATCAGGCCTGGGGGACTCCCAGAAAGCAGAGGTGATGGACGCAGCCTACAACCTGATCAAAGGTATTTTTGGCCCAGCCTTGGAGAAGATGAGGGAGACATGCACCCTTAGGAAACAACAGGAGGGTGAGGCTTTTAACATCGGCTTGCCACGCAAATCAAACCCCCACCCGGCTCAGGGTCCAAGACCCAGGATTGCAGCATCTACAGTAGCAGCAAGGGGGTAGCAGGATGGCTCTAACACAGCCAGACAAGCAGCTGGTCACCCAAACCAGCAAAATAAAAGGGAAAACCCAAGGCCTTGGGGCAAGCACTTCTTTGCAGCAGCAGTCGCCAGGAAATGAACATCCCACACCGCGGGGCAAGAAAAAGTGGACGACCTAACACCCCCACCTTTTCCACCTCCCACTCCAGCAGAAGTGTGACTTGTTCTGCCCTCTCGTGTCCAAAGAGAGGAGACTGTGAGGCAGAAAACAGTGTCACCAAACACTCACCAGTGCTCCAAGATGCCTCATTTTGTGTTTAATTCATTTCAAAGTGAAAACAGAACATTTAAAAAAATATACAATAAAACAAAAACAAGTTCAAGATGAAAGTGGAATGCAAGCAAGTTGGAAAAACTGAAGCTAAAAAAGATGTTAAAATAAACGTACTTGAAATGTCTATAATTAAAAAAGAAGAATGAAAAGATGAGCAACACATTATAAATAAAGTTAATTTCTCATTTTCTCTTTTTGTACAGTTTGGATTTATTGATGACTGGATTTGTTATATCTTTAGTTTTTAAATGTTTTCATTTTTTTAATTTCACACTTTGAACTGAAACAGTGTTTGAAATTAGTCCTCAAGAAATGTTTAATTGTTCAGATGTGAGCTGGGCCCTGCTGCTTTCATGAACCCCACAAGAAACCTTCACGCTGTAAACCTGTTTATAGAGACGTACCGACATGCTACACCTCATTATTACCGTGACTGACGTTGTAGAAGAAGCTGCCTTGTCTCAAACTGTGTACCCACGGTTTATATACAGGAGCGTCTTATTTAGAAATGTATTTTTTTCATAATTTTTTAATTTTATATTTTATTTTGAAAGACTTCCTGCCGTCTATCGGCAGCTTCCTGCCACTGACTAACATTTTCCTTTGACAGAGCTGGGTGCTCGTGGCTCCTGGCACCCCATCCCTCATGGGGGCAGGCGTTTGTGACACAGTTCTCAGGCTCCTCTCTAGTGGAACCAACTTCCAGTTTCTGTCCATGAGGCTGACACATTATCCAGTTTTAAAACTAGGCTTAAGACTTTCCTTTTTGCTAAATCCTATAGTTAGGGTCAGCTTGGGTTTCCTGAGCTGTCCCTTAGTTCTGCTGCTATAGGCTTAGACTGCTGGAGGACAAACTGAACACACTTTTCACTCTGCTACTGTCTTTACTTTGCTCAACATGTTTGTATTTGTAATTATTTTTTCTATCCTTAACATGTTTTTGTCTTTCAGATACACATGGACTTATATCTGGACCTGGACCTATATCTGGACCTATACCTGGACCTGGACCTATATCTGGACCTATATCTGGACCTGGACCTATACCTGGACCTACCATTCTGTGTTCGTCTGTCTCTCCTTCCTGTCCTCTCAACCAGCCGGTCAAAGCAGATGGTCTCTTGTCCTGTGCTGGTTCTGCTGGAGGTTTCTTCCTGTTAAAGGGAGTTTTTCTTTCCACTGTCTCCACTGTGCTTGCTCAGGATGGGAGACTGCAACGAAGCCAAGATTCAACTTGTCTGCTGGATTCCTTACATAGAGAACTTTACTAATTGACTTTTATGTGAATATCCTGATGCATGCTCAATAATCCAGGTAGAAAAATCTAAAAAAGTTCAATCTGGTCCTCTGGACATTCAAAAAAAAAAAAAGAAAAAACAAAGCAAAAAAAAAAATATATAGAAACGTTTCGTCTCTCATCCGAGAGACTTCCTCAGTCTGAGGTGCTGTATTCAGCTCAGTCTCTTAAATAGCACCTTCTCAGAGTGGATCAACCAGTTTGCTGCTGACAACCAAAACCAGCTGATCACATGGTCAAGAAGGACCATCAGCCTAACAATGGATCATTAGCACCTGATGGCTGTTTACTGTTCACAGAGGGCTGAGTGATACTAGCAATCACAGCATTGTAAGAGGGGGACAGTTGCTGTATATAATTATAATTATAAATTATTGACAGTGCTACACCTAATAATATTATAAATTATTATTGACAGTGCTACACTTCATAATAATATTATAAATTATTATTGACAGTGCTACACTTCATAATAATTTTATATATTATTATTGACAGTGCTACACCTCATAATAATATTATAAATTATTATTGACAGTGCTACACCTCATAATATTATACATTATTATTGACAGTGCTACACCTCATAATAATATTATAAATTATTATTGACAGTGCTACACCTCATAATAATATTATAAATTATTATTGACAGTGCTACACCTCATATTATAAATTATTGACAGTGCTACACCTCATAATAATATTATAAATTATTATTGACAGTGCTACACCTCATATTATAAATTATTGACAGTGCTACACCTCATAATAATATTATAAATTATTATTGACAGTGCTACACCTCATAATAATATTATAAATTATTATTGACAGTGCTACACCTCATAATAATTTTATAAATTATTATTGACAGTGCTACACCTCATAATAATATTATAAATTATTGACAGTGCTACACCTCATATTATAAATCATTGACAGTGCTACACCTCATAATAATTTTAGAAATTATTGACAGTGCTACACCTCATAATAATTTTATAAATTATTATTGACAGTGCTACACTTCATAATAATTTTATAAATTATTGACGGTGCTACACCTCATAATAATATTATAAATTATTATTGACAGTGCTACACCTCATAATAATTTTATAAATTATTATTGACAGTGCTACACCTCATAATAATATTACAAATTATTATTGACAGTGCTACACCTCATATTATAAATTATTGACAGTGCTACACCTCATAATAATTTTATAAATTATTGACAGTGCTACACCTCATAACAATATAAATTATTATTGACAGTGCTACACCTAATAATAATATAAATTATTATTGACAGTGCTACACCTCATAATAATATTATAAAT